GCAGGCTGAACTTGAAAAAAGTCTCCTACACCAATCTCCTGCATTAGCATCTGAAAGAAAACAGACGGTGAAACTCTAGGATTAGAAAATCCTGACAGATCTACGTCACGCTGTCACTTAACGCTCATGGACTCACTCATCTTGACTCATGACGGGGAAGGCTGTTGTTGGTTTAGCGTCCAGGAAACAGCAGAGAACGTCTCAAATTAGCATTTAGCATGCTAACTGTTAGCGTTAGCAACTTCACCACACAGCAGAACTCCTCCAGGCCTGTGTTATTTGTGGAGATAAAACATCTACATCGCAGAGCAAACAGAGTCAGTGGTAGAGTTGTGTTGCTGTTAGCCAATCAGAGATGAGATGTCCAAATTTCAGGAAGCAAGACTCCAAACCCCATAGACATGAAAATGTTGATGCCCCATTGGGCACTGGAGAGCGTAACAGCATCGCCACCATATTGGATGGGTCTCTTCACTCTCCAAAGTCAACGCCGAGTGAGCCACTGTGCTCATATTTATGCAGCCTACAGTTGCAACAACCAGCGTACTTTTGAAAATAGATCATGTGAGATTACTGTTGACTTTTTTAAGCTACGTGATGGGATTTTATATTTTGTTTAATTACATGTATAATTTAATTATGCTGTACTAATTTTGAGATAAAGCTTGATAAAGTGTGATTTAGAGTTGGGTAAACACCTTCCTCAGCAGATGTGAATGCACTGGGGGCAAATGGAGACCCATCTAAGATGGCGGACGGCCACTACAACAGCTCCAATAGGCAGTGCCAGTCCACGTGGCATCTACGTATTTACGTCGGTGCCAAAACCTGCCGTCTGAAGCTAATCTTTCCTCCAGCTGACTTGTACCTTCTGATTCAGGCGCGTCTGGGCATATTTTTCCCCAGAGCACGCCTTACAGGGCATTCATTCCTGCTAGAGACCTCTGTAGATGCATTACAAATACGAGTAAAAGTAACCTTGTGGAGAAATGATGATGTGTGTACAATCTCACAGAAAATCACCAGATCTAAGTTTTGTGAATGGCTCCAGCTATCACCACATGAGGTTTGAGCTGAATATTTCTAAAGATAACAGCCGTTATTATTTTTGCTGAGAGTACTTAGCAGTAGCAGCCATTTTAAATGTGAGGCTCCATGATGGCACAGTTGATAGCGCTGTTGCCTCACTGCGAAAAGCTGATGGTTCATCCCTGTGCAGCTGTCCTACATGGCGTTAGGATGTGTGGGCTTCCTTAAGCTGCTCTGGTTTCCTATGTAGACGAATTCAAATTCTAATTTATATTAAAGAAGAACATAATAAAACAATGTAGACGTTAACTTAAAGTTCAACGAGAGAGCAGGTTCTAGAGTGGTTTCTGGGACGAGATGTCAAAGTTTAGACTTTATTAAAACTAAGATTATTATTATTCTTTATTATTAAAAGTTAATAATTTTATTACTAACAAATTAAACTAGACTGACTTTAAACACTACATGTATGGTGTAACTAAGGTGGATGAGACGGTGAATGGGATGACGTGTGATGTTGATCAGAACCAGCAAATCCGAAGAAGCGGTTAGTTCTGATGGGAACTGAAGACGATGTCTTCGCGTTAAGCTTTGGTTGGGAGATTCATAAACACATTCAACGCCATTTGTCGGTCTACGTACCCTTAGCGGAGGTCCCTGTTCAGATCAGGAGGTGTAACGGTCCAGCTTGACCTTATGGAGCCGGAGCCGGTAGAAGCAGCCACGGCAGCCGACCGCCTGTCTTGAGATACTTCTGGGTCATGACAATTTTATTGGCGCCTGGTGAGACCCAAGCCTGGGTCTTGATGGTTCAGCTTTTATTCTGAAAGGAACCGTTGTACCAGTTGGAACAACCACAAATTTTTCAGCTTGTCGTTGGTTCTTTTTGGTTGAAGAGGAGAGTGACGGATTGGCCACTCCAACAACTTCTCTGGAACGCTTTGAACTGGCGTCAGAGATGATGTGGGCATAGTTTTATACTTCGGATGTTTTGGTTTATGGTCGAATGAAAAGTTGAAGAGTTACCAAACACCATCAAAACCCCGCCTCCGTCAGATCTGTCAGATTCTGATTGGATCAGTGAAAGTAATGTGTCATAGTACCTTTATATTCTATAGGATTATAATAAAGTAATTAATATTTTGATTTCACAGATTGGTCACATCTTACCTATTGACTAACACTTTGAGAGAGTCCATTCTTCGTTCTTCTGTTGAGCTGAAAATAAGCAGGTTAGAAGGAATGCATGAGACCTTGAGACCATATCTCATGCAGATTAGTCCTGTGTCAGAGGAGGGAAAAACTGTCATTTCATTCTGTTACAATGTCTTCTAAGCGACTCTTGACTTTTATGACCACATTTTAGCTCAACCTCTGTAAAATTGACTGTGCTGTGGCCAGATGTGTCTTTGCTAAGATTGATTATTTAAGGTGGCCATCTTGAACTGGGTTGACTGGGCTGTAGATGGTCAACCAGTAGTGATTTTCTGAGAGTTTCATTCAAATCCTTCCAGTGGTTCCATGAGATGTTTCGCTAACAAGCAGGAAAAAGAGTGCTGGCCTCTAGCATCCTAATCTGAAATATTAAAGGCATCTTATTTTGAAATTCAGCCTTGGAGAGTCTCACACACACACACACACACACACACACACACGAGCCAAGACACGTAAAAACACACAAACACAGATACTCGTTCAATCATTCTCAACAACACCCACATGGGTCACTTTCATAACACAAAGAGAACAAGTCGTAGGAGGGAGATGGAGAGAGTGAAATGGTGAAAGGGGAAGTGAGCACACTGCTGGATCTACTCGTTCTCTTCCCCGAGGAGGATGTTCGCACATTCAGGCATTCACGCACACACATACGTGCACACATTTGCATCCTTACTTATGTGCTGATGGAAGAAAAATGACTTTAATGTTCAGAATGAACACAAACAAACCCCTCACTAGCAGACAAACTGCAGGTCGCTGCCTGGAAAGGTCTGGTTTACAGGGAACGTGTTCTTTTCTTCCCTTTATGACTCAGACGCACACACACACACACACACACACACACACACACACACACACACAACTTATTACCTCGCAGAGACAATCTCGTCCCACTTTACCCCGAGATGCTTTAAGGCTATGAAATTTGGGGCTAAATATACACGTGTGCTGAGGTTCTGATGGGGTGGTGGTGAAGGGGGGGGGGGGGGGGGGGGTGCAGGTAGAGGGAGACTTTGGGCCAGTTATTTCAAGCTGCCATGACCCACTGTGATAACCCACTTTCTAACTCGCTCCTTCCATCTTTTCTCCGATTCCCTCCCCGAAGCCGTCATGAGGAAAGTGCGATGTCCTCCTGTTGCCTTTCGCCGTATTCTCTTTAATTGTTATGCCTCTCTTTGCTGAGCTTGATGCTTCTTCCTGTTTTGGTGTTATTTGCTGTTAGGCATCCGTTTGTGTCAAATCCAGCCTTCTTACTTTGGCAAAGGAAACCAAATCAAATCAATTCAAAGATACTTTATTAATCGCAGAGGGAAATTAGAGTTTCACTACACACAATTCAGAGATCAGACATACATGGGCAAGACACGTGACAAGAATTGGTGACTGTGGTCATTCGCAACCCTGAGTCACGCTACCTTAATAGAGATAAGAGGGTTACATGAGGATTGGTTCAGGTGGAGGGAAAAAAAGGCACTTCAGAGTTACCCTCCCACCAGGAGGGCAGCTTTGCTCTGCAAAAAACACCTCAGACAGATATGTAACAGACTTCAGACTACACAACATAAGTGTCCACAAAGTGGGGTGGTGGGTTGGGACTATCCCCACTTCAGTTCCTGCAGCCACGATAAGCAGCGCATGTCACCTCAGTGTGGATGTGGGAGGAGCATTGAGGGTTGGAGGGTTGTGGTGACCCTGGACGTTTCAGCGGCCTTCCCGCAGTCCCGCCCAGGCTGGGAAAGGAGGCAGAGTTGAGTTGCCTTAGCGACAGCACATTCCACATATCTTCTGAGGGGGGGAGTTTTCGTTGGAGCCTTGCAGGCTCAAGGGCGCCAGATTCCGATTACAAATTGTTTTGGGGCCAGACAGAGATAACTTCCTCTCTGTTGTACAGTCTGTTGGTCCTCAACCTCTCAGAATCCCAATAATGGCCTTGAGGATAAGATATGGAGGAGAGGAGGAAAAAAGTGTCTGCACCCGCCAAGAGCAGAAGTTTACACAGCTAACAAAGATGCCGTCTTGCTTTCTTTGATAATGAAAAAGAAGAAAATAACAGCATCATTACCACGTTTTTCACGTGTGGGAAGAAGTAGCAACGTTCACTCTTAGGCTGTTTTTACATGGGAAGTGGTGGGCATGGCGTTTATGTGCACTAACACACTAGTTTATGTGTGTTCACTAGTCACTGTAGGATGATCACTTCTAGGCCCTGACTTCATTTTAATTTCATTTATCTCAAAGTAGAGCTGCATGATGCCACGCTTTATCATCAACATCACAATAGACGTGTGGCAGATAGACAAGTCGCCAACAGTTCTCATCTATTGTTAAAAGTACGTGACGCCCAACGATCCACCAATCGCAAAACCCAACCGCTCACGTGAGCTAAAGTTGTTTTCTGGATTTTTGGGCTATTTGATGTGGCAGCCAACAATATACTGCACCGCAACTGGTTCGAGTTGCCAATGTGAGACTAGAAGGAGACACTTTTGATCTATCAGACAACATTTGCACGAGGGGGTGACCCTTCACCTGTTGGATCGTGTAAAATGTCGATCAAGAGCTACACATCAGGGTCGGTGCTGTAAGAGTTTGAAGGGTTGTTGGTCAACAAGATGGCAGAAAGGCAGCATAGGTTAAGGTGCTTTTCAAGTCATCTCTTAAATATCAATGTGATCATTTCCATACAGGCCTCCAACACCGGAGGAATAACAGGTGAATGATGGACACTGTTGTTTTCACCTCTTACCCAGGTGGTCTTCAAAAACGCCCACATGGCTGTCGGATCCTTGACCATCAACGAGGAGAGGTCGGAAGTCATCGACTTTTCTGTTCCTTTCATCGAGACGGGAATCAGCGTCATGGTTTCTAGAAGTAATGGCACAGTCTCGCCTTCAGCATTCTTAGGTGAGTGGTGAGGTCACCGCATGTCAGAAAGTTGATTAGGGTACAAGGACGGGTCAGAGGAGGGAGGACATTTCCACTCGTTTGTCTTGGAAGCTTTAACTCAGACTCTCAGGTGGACTACTTTGGAGAGGGCGGGATTAGAAAACCAGCAGTGGTTTTCACAAACAACTTAGTTTCTAGTCAAAGTTGATAGGTCTGGATGATTTTTGCCTCATTTTCAGATAAAAAGCGTTATTGTCTGAATGTCTCTTCACTTTGCATCATGGCCGTTACAAGAGAAAGCCACAAGGGAGCGCACACAAAAGTACAAATTATTTTGTTAAACAATAAAAAAGAAACAAAAATAGAAGCTAACATTCGTTTAATGTTAATATCGGTAAATATCGGGGCATTTTGATTCCTTCTGGCTTTATTTTCCACATTATGTTCTAAAAGTGCAAGTTCACAAAAAAAGCGTTTTTTACTTAAGCTATTTTTGAAATGTGATCAGTAACTTGGTTTAACATGCAAGCTAAACGTGATAATAGTCTCCTATGTCTACTTCTTGCGTTTACCGCTGATTGACAAGCCACAGGGAAATGCTCAGATTAGAAAAGCCAGTCAGATCTATGTCACACTGAAAATTAGCATTCATGGACAGGGAAGGCTGTTGTAGGTTTAGCATTCAGGAGAGAAGAGCACAGCTAGTAGAAGCCAACCGTTAGCATTAGCAGCCCCACCACACAGCAGAACTCCTCCAGGCTTGTGTTATTTGTGGAGATAAAACATCAACGTTGTAAAGCAAACAAAGTCAGTGGTAGAGTCGTGTTGCTGTTAGCCAATCAGAGGAGAGCTGTCCTCTGCTCACCTCTGCTCTGGCCAACTTCTACCTCAGACACAGGTGCGCCAGAGCTTTTTCCCGAAAGAGATTGATGCACAAGTTCATAATTTATTCTAGAGACCACTGCAGAAGTGTTGAAGAACATGAGTGAACTTGGTCTTTATGGATAGTTATTATGCAATCGCTGGACACAAAACCCACAGGCTCCCAAGGAACTGGATATGATTATTATGCAAATTTTTAAAACAAATATTTCATATTTATTTGGGATTTTCAGAGTAAAATAGCTGAATTCCATTAATTTTTTTATTGGACACGTAATTAATGTTTCCCCTCCATAAAGTCAGCAGAAGAAAGACCAGAACTCGTTTTGTAAAAGTGGTCTGACTCAAACACGTACATTTGTTTTGGTCACATTTAGATGTTTTTTCCTCCAGACTAACAGCCTGATGAATAAACTCTGCTAGTTCAGGTTGACCTTTGTTTGTCCTTTCTTAGAAGCTGAAATGAATGTGATGTAAGGTTGTGAAAGCAGCACCTGTGTACATTTTCACTGTAAAAACTCACTTCTGGCTGTAAGATAATAGAATAAGTGCTCGTTTTCCCTCTTTTTGCTCCCTGTCTCTTTGCCCTAATATGTTTCCCTCTCACTCCATTTCTCTGATGCTGCCTGCCTCTTCTCAATCTGACACGCCACATTTGCATATGTCTCTTGCCCTGACTTCCTTTTCTCCTACTCTCTGCCGCCCTTGCTTGAGGGAAACTGCTCCTCCCTCTACACGTGTCTCTTTCTCCCCCATCTTCTCCCTCTCTTTCTGCTTCTATGTCTCACACTTCCTCCTCCAATCCCTCTTATCCCTTCATCATTCCCTCTCCTCTCGTTGCCCCTGTCTCACCCTCCAGAGCCCTTTAGTGCAGATGTGTGGGTGATGATGTTCGTGATGCTGCTGCTGGTGTCGGCAGTGGCGGTGTTCGTGTTTGAGTACTTCAGCCCTGTGGGCTACAACCGCTGTCTGGCTGATGGCAGAGGTGAGAGGCCAAAAAACACAGCGACACACAAAAACACACAAAAACACAGTGACACACAAAAACACAACAACACACAAAAACACAGTGACACACAAAAACACAACAACACACAAAAACACAGTGACACACAAAAACACAACAACACAAGAAAACACAACGACACAAGAAAGCACAACAACACACGAAAACAACGACACACAAAAACAGCAACACACTAAAAAGCAGCAACAAACAAAAGTGTGCAACACACAAAAACACAGGGACACACAAAATCAGTGACACACAAAAATGGCAACACACGAAAACAACGACACACAAAAACAGCAACACACTAAAAAACAGCAACACACAAAGACACAACGACACACGAAAACACAGCAACACACAAAAGTCTGCAACACACAAAAACACAGCGACACATGAAAGCACAGCGACACACAATAACAGCAACACACGAAAACAACAACACATGAAAACAGCAACACACTAAAAAAACAACAACACACAAAAGTCTGCAACACACAAAAACACAGCAGCACACGAAAACACAGTGACAGACGAAAACACAGCGACACACAAAACGGCAACACACTAAAAAACAGCAACACACAAAAGTCTGCAACCCACAAAAACACAGCGACACACGAAAACACAGCGACACACAAAAACAGCAACACACAAAAACAATGACACACGAACACAGCAACACACTAAAAACAGCGACACACGAAAACACAGCTACACACGAATACTCGACACATGAAAACACAAAGACACACAAAAACACATATCTCAGAATTCTGAGAAATTTTTCTAAATTCTGAGATAAAAGTCAGAATTCTGAGGAAAAATATCAGATTTCTGAGATTAAAGACAGAATTCTCACTTTGATCTCAGAAGTCTGACTTTTTTCTTCAGTATTTTGACTTTTTCTGTTGTTATGAGACTTAACCATTCTATTACGATTTTATTTATACAGCACATTTTAAAACAGCATGTTTGCTGGCCAAAGTGCTGAGCAGGTTATCAAAACAATTAAAATAGGATTCACAAAGCAAAATGCATTAAAATCTTCATTCAGGACATGTGGCCAAATGCAGTAACATCAACATTCAAAAGCAAGATAAAAGAAATGGGCCTAAAAAAGGTCTTAAAGCATGGAAGTGAAGGGGCTTGCCGCAGTGTTGTTTGTTTACTAATAAAGGAAATATTATAAATAAAGGAAAACATTGAATTCTTTGGATTAAGGCCAATTAAAATCATTCATAGGGCCACAAATGGCCTGCAAGCCACCTTTTGGACAGCCAAGCCCTAGAGACTCTGAAACCGAACACTACCTGAACTCAGTTGACTAGTTTTATTGTTTTGTTTATGCTTTTATTGTTGTTTTTGATTAGATTAGTTTTTTCATTGCAAGGTGAGGTTTAGTGTCGTAAAAGTTCCCTAAAAGTAAAATTCTATAATAATAATAACCGTCACCTTATCGTGGTGGAGGAGTTTGAGTGCCCTAATGATCCTAGGAGCTATGTTGTCTGGGGCACTTAGTGCCCCTGGTAGGGTCTCCCATGACAAATTGGTCTTAGGTGAAGGGTGAGACAAAGAACGGTTCGAAGGATCTTTCATGGCGGTTAAAACGAAGAGTCGGAGTACCCGGCCCGGAGGGTTACCGGGGTCCCACCCTGGAGCCAGGCCTGGGGTTGGGGCCCGTGAGCGAGCGCCTGGTGGCCGGGCTTTCGCCCATGGGGCCCGGCCGGGCCCAGCCCGAACCGGATACATGGGCTCGTCCAACTGTGGACCCACCACCCGCAGGAGGAACATGAAGGGTCCGGTGCAATGCGAATCGGGTGGCAGACCAAGGCGGGAGCCTTGGCGGTCCAATCCCCGGACAAGAAAACTAGTTTTTGGGACATGGAACGTCACCTCGCTGGCGGGGAAGGAGCCGGAGCTTGTGGCAGAGGTTGAGCGGTACCGGCTAGATATAGTCGGACTCACCTCGACACATTGCATTGGCTCTGGAACCCGAGACCTGGAGAGGGGTTGGACACTCTACTTTGCTGGAGTTGCTCCGGGTGAGAGGCGGAGGGCTGGGGTTGGCTTTTTGTTAGCCCCGAGACTCTGCCTGTGTGTTGGGGTTTACCCCGGGGGACAAGAGGGTAGCTTCCTTGCGCCTTCGGGTCGGGGAACGGGTCCTGACTGTTGTTTGTGCTTATGGGCCAAATATCAGTTCAGAGTACCCACCCTTTTTGGAGTCCCTGGGACGAGTGCTAGATAGTGCTCCATCAGCGGACTCCATTGTCCTGCTGGGGGACTTCAATGCTCACGTGGGCAATGACAGCTTGACCTGGAGGGGTGTGATTGGGAGGAACAGCCCACCTGATCAGAACTCGAGCGGTGTTTTGTTATTGGACTTCTGTGCAAGCCGCAGTTTGGCCATAACGAACACCATGTTCGAACATAAGGATGCCCACCGGTACACTTGGTACCAGGGCAGCCTAGGTCACAGGTCGATGATAGATTTTGTAGTCGTATCATCTGACCTGCGGCCGTATGTTTTGGACACCCGAGTGAAGAGAGGGGCGGAGCTGTCAACTGATCACCACCTGGTGGTGAGTTGGATCAGATGGCAAGGGAACATGCCGCGTAGACCTGGCAGACCCAAACGCATAGTGAGGGTCTGCTGGGAACGCCTGGCAGAAGAACCTGTCAAGACGGTCTTCAACTACCACCTCCGGCAGAGCTTTGACCACGTCCCGAGAGCAGTGGGGGACATTGAGTCCGAGTGGGCCTTGTTCCACTCTGCGATTGTCGAGGCGGCTGTTGCTAGCTGTGGTCGTAAGGTGGCCGGTGCCAGTCGTGGTGGCAACCCCCGTACCCGCTGGTGGACACCAGAGGTTCGGGGAGCCGTCAGGCTGAAGAAGGAGGCCTACAGGGCGTGGCTGGTCTGTGGGTCTCCGGAGGCAGCAGACAGGTACCGGATAGCCAAGCGGGGTGCAGCAGTGGCAGTTGCCGAGGCAAAATCTCGGGCGTGGGAAGAGTTTGGTGAGGCCATGGAGAAAGACTATCGATCGGCTCCAAAGAGGTTCTGGCAAACTGTCCGGCGCCTCAGGAGAGGAAGGCAGCAACTCGCTCACACTGTTTACAGTGGGGATGGGGAGCTGCTGACGTCAACTGAGGCTATAGTCGGACGGTGGAAGGAATACTTTGAGGAGCTCCTCAATCCCACCAATGCGCATTCCGAGGAGGAACCAGAGCTGGGAGGCCTGGGGATGGACTGTCCGATCTCGGGGGCAGAAGTTGCTGAGGTAGTCAAACAACTACACAGCGGCGGAGCCCCGGGGGCGGATGAGGTTCGTCCTGGGTATCTCAAGGCTATGGATGTTGTAGGGCTGTCATGGTTGACACGTCTCTACAACATTGCGTGGTCATCGGGGGCAGTTCCTAGGGAGTGGCAGACCGGGGTGGTGGTCCCCATCTTTAAGAAGGGTGACCTGAGGGTGTGTTCCAACTATAGGGGGATCACACTCCTCAGTCTCCCTGGAAAGGTCTACTCCAAGGTACTGGAGAGGAGGGTCCGATCGATAGTTGAATCTCAGATAGAGGAGGAGCAATGTGGTTTTCGTCCTGGCCGTGGAACTGTGGACCAGCTCTATACCCTTGCAAGGGTGATGGAGGGGGCATGGGAGTTTGCCCAACCAATCCACATGTGCTTTGTGGATTTGGAGAAGGCTTATGACCGTGTCCCCAGGGGCACCCTGTGGGGGACGCTCCAGGAGTATGGGGTGGGTGGCTTTCTGTTAAGGGCCATTCAGTCCCTTTACCAGAGGAGCGTGAGTTTGGTCCGCATAGCCGGTAGTAAGTCGGACCTGTTCCCAGTGAGGGTTGGACTCCGCCAGGGCTGCCCTTTGTCACCGGTTCTGTTCATCACTTTTATGGACAGAATTTCTAGACGCAGCCGTGGTGTGGAGTGTGTCGAGTTTGGTGGCAGGAGAATCTCGTCTCTGCTTTTTGCGGATGATGTGGTCCTCCTAGCTTCATCCAGCTCTGACCTTCAGCTCTTGCTGGGTAGGTTCGCGGCCGAATGTGAAGCGGCTGGGATGAGGATCAGCACCTCCAAATCTGAGACCATGGTTCTCGACCGGAAAAGGGTGGCTTGCCACCTCCGGGTCGGGGGAGAGGTCCTACCTCAAGTGGAGGAGTTGAAGTATCTCGGGGTCTTGTTCACGAGTGAGGGTAGGAGGGATCGGGAGATCGACAGGCGGATTGGTTCGGCGTCTGCAGTGATGCGGACGCTGAGCCGATCTGTCGTGGTGAAGAGGTAGCTGAGCCAGAAAGCCAGGCTCTCGATTTACCGGTCGATCTACGTCCCAATCCTCACCTATGGTCATGAGCTTTGGGTAATGACCGAAAGAACGAGATCGCGGATACAAGCGGCCGAAATGAGTTTCCTCCGTAGGGTGGCCGGGCTCAGCCTTAGAGATAGGGTGAGGAGCTCGGACATTCGGGAGGGACTCGGAGTAGAACCGCTGCTCCTCCGGATCGAAAGGAGCCAGTTGAGGTGGTTTGGGCATCTGGTCAGGATGCCTCCTGGACGCCTCCCTGGGGAGGTGTTTCGGGCATGTCCTGCCGGCAGAAGGCCCCCGGGTCGACCCAGGACACGTTGGAGAGGTTACATCTCCAATCTGGTCCGGGAACGCCTTGGGGTCCTGCCGGAGGAGCTGGTGGACAAGGCCGGGGAGAGGACGGCCTGGAGCTCCCTAATTGGGATGCTGCCCCCGCGACCCGGACCCGGATAAGCGGAGGAAGACGAAGACGACGAAGATAATAATAATAATAATAATAACTTATTTTGTTTCTTTGATTTAAAATAAAAACATGCAGATTTATTGGCGTTTTTTAATCAACAATCACGCCTGACCAGTTTTGAAAAGATTTTAAAAAGACTTGCCATTTCTTTAAGGCTTCTATAACTTCAACATTTGAAGAGGATGTTTAAAAAGTTC